TTCCCTGACCACCCTAATTAGCTACATCTTCTACCTCTGCATTCTGGTCATTTCTTTGCTGGCATGTATTACAATTTATGTTCAGTTGATCATTTGAATATATTTTTTACACCGCCTTAGTGTCAGACACTAAGGTAGGCCCAGGGGATACAACTGTAAACAAAATCTGATATAGCCCATACTCTAATAGAGCTTTAACTGTAGTAAAGAAGAAATATACTAATTTCTGTAAAAAAATCACCACTGTGAGTGTGTAATACAAAGGGCCTTAGCACTACAAAGAAATTTCTACTTCAGAACATAATTAAGAAGCTAGCCATGGACTATGATGTGGGTAGGCTTCCCCAGAGAAGTGACAGGCTTTAGCCGGCATCTGAAGGATTAGCAGGGGTTAACCAGGCAAGAGGGAGGAGAGTGGCTTTCCAGGCAGAAGGAAGAACCTATGCAAAGATCTTTCAGGAAGATGGAGCAAAATGCTAGGAAGGTCAGGGTGGCAGCTGCGGAGAATGAAGCAGAGAAAGGTGTGTGACATAACTGGGGAGCTAGCCTGGAAACACCACGCTGGGATTCGTATGCCCCAGCAAGGAACATGGGTCAATCTCAGGAAGCAAAAGGGAGCTGTTCAAGGGTTGTAGGTATGAGGTAGGTTAGAGGTCTGGACTCACATGACGGCATCTGCTTTTGCAGACGATCACTCTAGCTACAGTGTGGGAAGCAGCTTGGGGAGGCTGTAGGAGAGCTGAGACACCAGAGGGTAGCTTTCAGGCTGGCTTGGGGGGCCGTGATGGTGGCAGGCATCCTGGCGGCAGGATGGTGGCAGCAGAGGCAGGGAGAAGAGGACAGACACAGTGGGAGGATATTCAGAAATCAAATCAATAGGGATTGAAGGTAGACTCGATAGACTTGATAGAAAGAGAAGAAAGGTTCAAGGAAAACTTGTAGATTTCTGACTTAATGGACTGCACGACCACTCACTGAAATAGGGAACACTGAAAATGAGAAACAGAAAATTAGACATGAACTGGGCAGGGGTTCTCAGAGGGAGGTGATCATGAGTTGAGTCTGAGGTACCTTTGGGAAATGCAAATGGAGATAACGTAGGATTGAGAAGCAGTGGTACAGCAGACTTGAGTCAGCAGCCCCGCACAGAGGTGTGAGCTGAAGCTCTAACTTAGGGGTTCACTGATGTATACGCAAGGGACTGAAAATCTGTGCCTCACCACCCCCCCCCCCGCCTCCGCCAAAAGTCATATTTGAAATCTTAAATCCCAGTGGGGCCCTTGGGAGGCAATTAGTTCGTAGCATGGAGCCCTCGTGAATACAATTAGTGCCCTCATAATCAAGGTGAACCCCATGGTTTTGAGTCAGAGGAGCTGAGAAGGTGGAGTTTATCTTTAGCTGAGATGAGAGAGTCTGTAGGAGGGGAAAAGTTTGGAGTGAAGATCACTAGCTCGGTTCTAGCCTGTTAAGTTGAAGGCGCCTAAGAGAGCTGTCGCGTGGCTATTGAGGTAAGGAGTTCCAAAGAGTCGAGGTGACCTCATCCGATCCCATTGGTTTTAAATACCATCTATGTAAGTACCATCTATGTGCTGATGGCCCAACATTTTCTACCTCCAGCCCTGAGAGTAAGGGTGAAAAAGAGAAGAGGTCTGAGCATGAGGCCCTGGGACATCCCCAGGTTTAGAGGGCAGGAAGATGAGCGAAGCCAGCAAGGAGACTGAGAAGGAGAGACCAGAGAGGAGGAGAGCCAGAAGAAAGGGGTTGTCTCAGAAGCCAAGAGAAGAAAACCCTTCAAGATGAGGAGATGGAACCACTGAATTAAGTAGAGCTGATAAGTCCAAATAGAGGAGAGCCAAGGAATATGGTCACTTGAATAGCAGTGTGGACATCACTGTTGACCTTGAAAAGATTTGTTTCCACAGTAACCCCCAGAGGAGAAAGACTGGGGCCAGTGGGTCCAGACAACTTTTCTAGGAGTTTCACCGTGAAGCAAAGGAGATGAATGGAGTGGTAGCTGGAAGGGAGAGTGAGGCTCAAAATAGACTGGAGGTTTTTTTTAAATGGAAGAAATAGCAACATATACGCACGCTGATGGGAATGGTTGGCATAATACAGGAGTAAAGTGAATCGTGAATACAAATGAATAATTCAGGACAGAATGGTGGGAACTGCTGTCGCAATGCTCTTGAGTAGGAGAGGGGAAGGGAGCAAGTCCTCAGGTGGAGGGGCCAGTGGAAGGCTGAAGCAGAGCCCTACTTCATCGCTACTGGCAGGAAACAGGACAGCAATGTGGGTAGGTGGATCCATATGCAGGTGGGAGCTTTTGCAAGTTCTCTGCCAGTGGTGTTAATTTTCTCAGTAAATTGGGGGAAAAGAGCATCAGTGGAAAGTGAAGAGAGGGATGGAGAGAAGGGGGGCTGAGAAGAGAGAGGGAGACACAAGGGTCATCTAGGAGAGGGAAGGACAAACAGAGCAGGAGGTACAGGATAATTGCTGGGCAATGTTATGGCTGCACATAAGGTTAGTGATCAAATATTTACCGTGACCTTGAAGATTAGTGGGTTTATTTATTTATTTATTTATAATATGAAATTTACTGTCAAATTGGTTTCCATACAACACCCAGTGCTCGAAGATTAAGGGTTTTAAATTATTGATCTTGAAGGTGGAACAGATTCAGGTGATGCCAGGTTATACTTGCAGACATGAGTGATTGAGATGGAACGAAAGAGGGTATTTGGTATTATGGTTCTGCTCATTGGCTCATCTCCGGGCAGGAACTATGCCCCTCCTTTACCACTCAGTGCCCACTACCCTGAGTACCTGTCTCAAAGGAGGTGCTCAATAAACACTGGATAAAATACAAACATTTTACAAATTACAAAATATTTCCCATATTACATTCTGCTCTCTCCTCCTCTCCACATCCCCGTTCTTTGTCTTCCACACTGACTCTTAAAGGTTACTTATGAATTCAACGTCACATTTAAAACACATCCATATTGGGGCGCCTGGGTGGCTCAGTTGGTTGAGCGTCCAACTTCGGCTCAGGTCACGATCTCACGGTTTGTGAGTTCGAGCCCCGCATCAGGCTCTGTGCTGACAGCTCACAGCCTGGAGCCTGCTTCTGCTTCTGTGTCTCCCTCTCTCTCTGCCCCTAACCCACTCGCATTCTCTCTCTGTCTCTGTCAAAAATAAATAAACATTAAAAAAAAATTTTTTTAAACACATCCGTATTTATGGATGATTACAGCAGTTTCTTGGAGAAGAAACCCAAGGACGAGCTTATGTGCAAAGTTAGGAAAGAGGCCATTTATTCACACCCGTCACTTATTTTACGATAACACAAAACTTTTTATAGGACCTTCTGGATTAAAGCATGTTCACAACTATCGTTACCTCTCATCTTCAGAAAAATCCCAAGAGGCAGGTGCAGGGACAGCATCATCCCCATTTGACAGGCAAGAGAAGGGAGGAAAGGGCTTTTCCTGGACACGTGGCCAGTTAGGGGCAGGGCAGGAGGAAAATCTGCTCAACCCCCACCCCGGTGCTGCACGGGCTGTTCACCTTGAAAGTTCTCGTGATTTTTGCTGCTTCATGTGACCCCACTGCCCTTGGAAGTTCTGATCTCTTTCGAGTACCTGCCCTCACAATCTCTTTTTCTCCTGTTTCCAGCCTCCCTCCCGGGGATATATCTCAGATTTGGGAATGCGGGTTGGAAAACCCAGAGCTCAGGGACACAGCTGAAGACAAATTGGCAGGGTATGTGTCCATATGACGATTCGGCAGCTCCAAATCCAGTCAGTCACAGCTAAGGTTCTTTACAAGAAGTGGAGCTCCCGGGCTTGCACCCTTTGTCGCTTTGCCCCAACACCCCATCCCTACCAAGGGTCTGGGTGGTTGCCGACATCTATTTCTTTCCTGGAATCCCATTCTAAATACTTCTTACCACTTACTGTGTGACCACTGTGTGGGGGTGCTCTGTTAAATACCATGCGTATTACAACGTTTATTCTTTTACACTGAAAACACTGCAAAAAAGAGGATTCTTGCCCCACTTTCACACATAAGGAAACTAATGCAGAAGGAGGTCATAACTTGCCAGGGTCCCACAGCAATTAATTGGCAGGGCTGAGACTGGAACTCCAGTCTGAACCCAATGTCCTTGCTTTAACTGCCATTATACCGTCTCTCCATTTCTTGCTGAAGAGCAAGAAACAGAAGCAACTTCAGTTAAATTTTTCATGTTAATTATTGCCTCCTCGCCTACCCTTACTGCAGAGCCAGTTTTCTCTAAGGTGACATCTCACCACAGGCTTGACTGGGGAACAGATCTACATATGAATGGCAGGTCCTGGCTGGAGATAAACAGTTAAACGGCTACTTCCTGCCACTGGGGGGGGGGGGGGGGCCAGGAGGAAGAGAGAGAGAGAGAGAGAGAAAGTTAGGGACCACCACAGTAGTCTAGGTGCTTTGTCCAGGACCCTGGTGAGGGAGGTGGGGCGCTGGGAGGGATGGACACTCCCACCGTCTTTCTCTAAAGAGTTCCCCATCGCTGTACTTCCCCAAATGTATAGTATTTGCTACCCATTATAGTATTGTACGTACAGCTTGCCATCCCAGCCGAGACCTTAGTCGTGAGCATTATGACAAAGTATTCTGCTTTCTCCAACGGTCTTACCCTGACATGGTGGCCACCTGGGGCATTCTTTTCACAATATGCCACAATCCAAAACTGAACTGCCAAAGAGCGGAGCGCTGAGAGAATGAGCAAACAGAGGTAAGCCTCACAGGCTTACCTGGAGATTCCCTGCGGGGTCCATGAGGCCGTTCTAGGCTCTCCCAGGCACCAAGGCAGGGAGCAAAGGGCTATGGACATCACATTTTGCTTACTGCTCCTCAAGATATACATTTCTGTGGGCAGCAGGGAGGAGATTACATCATCTTCTGAGTAAATACAGACATGTGATTCCTTTTCCTATTAAACTTAAGCCACATGACCTCAAATTGCATTTTACTTCCCACGAGTTGCTATATTTCTGAAGATTTCTGCAATAACCCTGGCATTACGCTTATAATGGAGACAGGTATGAAGCTCTCATTTGTTTTGCAGGGACAAGCTGGAAATAAGATGCCCGAGAAGGTAATGAAGTGGTGGGTGTGCAGTAGGAAAGATGTCGGCTCTAGCAGAAATGCCTCTCCCAGGTTGGAATCCCTCTAGCTGGTGTGTCTAAAAGCCATAAGCACAGATGCCGTGGTAGCAATTTGGATCATTAGTGGGATGTGCTGGGGGACCGCACTATGCTCAAAGCTGGCAGGAAAGATATTGGGCTGGTCTTAGGGAGCCGGGAAGAGCAATTCGACTCATCTCAGGCTACTTAGTGAGGAGAGAATTAACCCACACAGGGAGCCTGACTAGCAATGAGTGAACCAGTCCTTTTCCTCGCCCTCAAAGCCCCGCTAAGTTGCTTTTCCTTTCAAGGGGAGTGATGGATTGCCAGGCATCACAAGGCAATCTCACTGTATTTAAAGAACATACGTGTTCTCAAAAATTTGCTTTCTGCAAATTAAATTTTCATATACCAAATCCTACTTTCCCATACCTTTTTTTTATTATCAAATCAAGTAACGTTCTTGAGAGAATACGGTCAACCCACTCTTGGGAATACAACACAAGGCGAACGGCAGCACATTAAAAAAAAAACAAAAAAAAAAAAAAAACAGGAGTATTTTTTAAATAAAACTCTCAAAATAAGTTACATGTGATAAGCTTCTCAAAATAAGTTATAAACTATGAATGTAAGTAGCCAGAAATATCTGTCTCCTTGGCCAACAGCTTCATGGTCCAAAGGAAAACCCATAACGATAGCCGAGCTAAATAAGAGACTACTCTCTAGTCTTTTAGTCTCTAGAACAGTCTTTAAAAAAAAAAAAAAAAAAAGAACCAGGGTGTTTGGATATTAAGCTATTGTCTCTGAGCTTTGTGATAGGGGTGCTTGCAGCTCCAAAAGCCACGTTCCCTGCTTAGCCAGCTGGATTCCCCATAGACTAGGTGATAGGGGCACTAGAGGGACACGGGGCGGCTGCGAGAGGAAGAAAGGATGTGACCCTCCATGTTTGCCTCACCAGCAGTGCCTCTGTATTCTGGAAGCAGCAGCTTGGTTCCAATTTCCAGTTTTCTCCATGCTCCCAGAACGAGCCTCATTGTGCTCCCTTACTTGCAATGGTGTGTTGGAACAAGCTTGCTCAAGGAGAATTTCAGGGATTTTTGTAAGCTAATTTTAAGCAAAAGTGCTATTAAAAATTAAATTACATAAACTCAGTGTATTAGTTAGAGCTGTACTGTCAGAGCTGTGGTAACAAAGCACTCCAAATCAGGTGGCTTAAATAGCAGAAGTTTATTTTCTCACAGTTCTGGAGCCCAGAAGTCCAAGATCAAGGTGTCTTTAGGACTGGTTCTTTCTGAGGCCTAGGAAGAATCTGTTCCATGTCTCTCCCCTAGCTGCTGGTGGTTTGTTGGCGATCTTTGGCCTCTGTTGGCTCATGGAAGAATCACTCCTATCTCTGCCCTTATGTTCATGTGGTGTTTCCCCGTTGTCCCGTATGTCTCCAAACCTCCCTTTAGGAGGACACTAGTCATGTGTCCTAGGGCCCATCCTACTGACCTCGTTTTGACCTGATTACCTCTGTAGAGATCCTGCCTCCAAATAAGGTCACATTCTGAGATCCTGGAGGTAAGAACTCCAACATGACTTTTGGGGGGACATGATTGACTCCATAACCCAAACAAATTACAGAGAGGAAGAACAGACAACGATTGCCAGGGTTACAGAAGGGAAATGAAGGTGTGTCTATTAAGAGGCAGCAAAAGGGAGTTTCTCTGTGATGATGGGACAGTTTCATATCTAGATTGTGGTGGTTGTGGTTATACAAATCTCTCTAGGTGATAAAATGTCCTAAAATTGAACACAAAGACATAAAAAAATGAGTAAATGCAAAAACTGGCCCAGGTCTGTACTCAAACTAATCATATTTTGCCAACGTATTTCCTGGTTTTAACGATGTACAGATGTCACCATTGGGGAAAGCTGGAGGATATCGCAATTGGTACAGGGGTACTGTTTTTGAAACTCCTGTAAGTCTATAATTATTTCAAAATGAAAAAGCCTTTTTAAAGAAATAACAGACCCCCCCAAACACACACACACACACACACACACACACACACGCACACACACAATCCAATTAAAAATGAGCAGAAGACCTGCGTAGACATGTCTCCAAAGCAGACATACAGATGGCCAACAGACACATGAAAAGATGCTCAACATCACTAATCATCAGGGAAATGCAAATCAAAACCACAATGAGATATCCCCTCATACCTGTCAGAATGGCTAGTGTCAAAAAGACAAGAAATAACAAGTGTTAGTGAGAATGTGGAGAAAAATGAATCCTCATGCACTGTTGGTGAGAAGGAGAACTGGGGCAGCCGCTGTGGAAAACAGAATGGAGGTTCCACAAAAAGAGAGAGAGAGAGAGAGAGAGAGAGAGAGAGAGAGAGAGACTGAAATACCATATGATCCATTAATTCCAGTACTCGGTGAGAGAGAGTGAGAGAGACAGAGAGAGAGAGAGACACTGAAATACCATATGATCCATTAATTCCAGTACTGGGTGAGAGAGAGAGAGAGAGAGAGAGAGAGAGAGAGAGGGAGAGAGACACACTGAAATACCATATCCATTAATTCCAGTACTGGGTATTTACCCAAAGAAAACAAAAAACACTAATTCAAAAAGACATACGCACCCCTATGTTTATTTATCCCAGCATTATTGACATTAGCAAGATATAAAGGCAATCTAAATGTCCATCAAAAGATGATATATATCTGTTCACATACACAATGGAGTACTACTCAGCCATAAAAAGAGTGAGCCCATGCCACTTGAGACAACATGGATGGACACAGAGGGTATTCCGCTAATGTGAAAGAAGTCAGACAGTGAAGGACAAATATATGATTTCATCTATATGTGGAATCTAAAAAAAAAAAAAAACAAAACAAATGAACAAAGCAGAAACAGACCAATAAATACAGACCAAAAAAACACCCCAAACTGGTGATTGCCAGAGGGGGTAGAGGGATGAGAAAAATGGGTGAAGGGGGAGAGAGAGATACAGGCTTCCAGTCATGGAATGAATGTCATGAGAATAAAAGGAACAGCATAGGGAATACAGTCAATGATACTGTGACACTATACCGTTGTATAGTGACAGACAGTAGCTACACTTGTGAACATAGCATAATTTACAGAGTTGCTGAATCACTACGTCGTGCACCTGAAACTACAATAACATTGTGTGTTAACTATACTTCAATAAACAATAAGTAAAATCTTAAAAAAAAACCAACAAAGGTAACTGTATCCCAAACTCACTACTTCCTAAATATTTGCATTTTGCTGTCGTCTGTGCTCTGAGGTCCCAGTTCTGCAGATGCCTTCTTCCCAGCTTCCAACTTCTTCCCTTGTTGCCCCCAGCCACAGAGATGACAGCTGTTTCCCACAGTCATCTATCTCTGTGCTGCCTCAGTGTTCCCTTTTGCCTTCTGTTCCCTAATACCTGCGTTAAGTAAATCCTTATATTAAATTCTCTGTTAACTATGTCTGTTGTTCTGACTGATAAGCCAGTCAACCCAAATGTTCTCCAAATGATGCAAATGGCTCCTATCATGGTAGAAGATAAAGCATTTTCATTTCCCAAAACTACCAGAAGCCCAGTCTACGTGCCTCTTCTGATTATACTAGGATTTCATTCTGGAAAATTGGCATTCCCAAAGGATGCTGGGAACAGAGCTTGCATGACCTCAAAAGCACCACAGCAATAGCTGTCCCAATAGCCCAGATACATAAGATTATAAAGCAATCGGAGAATACTACTTTGTTTTAAAAATTAATAACGATTTTCTTTCTGATTATAAAGGTAATCCATGCTGCCTTGTACAGTAGAGTATAAAGACACAATACCAACATCCAGAGAGAGAAAACCTTCAGTATTTTATGTGCTTTCTTCCATAATTCTTGTGATACGTAATATAAACAATTTGTATCTGTCTAAATGTGTAGCTTTTATTTATTTTTATTTTTTTAACGTTTTATTTTTGAGAGAAAGAGCGCGAGCAGGGGAGGGGCAGAGAGAGAGGCAGACACAGAACCTGAAGCAGGCTCCAGGCTCTGAGCTATCATCACAGAATCTGATGCGGGGTTTGAACCCACGAACCATGAAATCATGACCTGAGCCAAAGTTGGACGCTTAACCCACTGAGCCACCCAGATGCCCCTATTTTTTTTAATTTGTTTATTTTGAGAGACAGAGACAGAGACAGAGAGAGAGAGAGAGAGAGAGAGAGAGAGAGAGAGAGAATGCACATGTGAGAGGTGGGCTGTGGACCAGAGAGAGAGGGAAAGAGAGAATCCCAAGCAGGCTCCATGCTCACAGCTCAGAGCCCAGTGCAAGGCTTGATCTCACTGTGAGATCATGACCTGAACCAAAATCAAGAGTTGGTGGCACAAAAACAGACACATAGACCAATGGAATAGAATAGAAACTCCAGAACTAGACCCACAAACGTATGGCCAACTCATCTTTGACAAAGCAGGAAAGAACATCCAATGGAAAAAAGACAGTCTCTTTAACAAATGGTGCTGGGAGAACTGGACAGCAACATGCAGAAGGTTGAAACTAGACCACTTTCTCACACCATTCACAAAAATAAACTCAAAATGGATCAAGAACCTGAATGTGAGACAGGAAACCATCAAAACCTTAGAGGAGAAAGCAGGAAAAGACCTCTCTGACCTCAGCCGTAGCAATCTCTTACTCGACACATCCCCAAAGGCAAGGGAATTAAAAGCAAAAGTGAATTACTGGGACCTTATGAAGATAAAAAGCTTCTGCACAGCAAAGGAAACAACCAACAAAACTAAAAGGCAACCAACGGAATGGGAAAAGATATTTGCAAATGACATATCGGACAAAGGGCTAGTATCCAAAATCTATAAAGAGCTCACCCAACTCCACACC